GCCCGGTAAAGTGGAAAAAACAAAATGAGATTTCTTCCAACAATCGGTTCTCTGAACTACTTAGAAAGTTACCAACCGGTTCTCCTGAATAGGTGTGAACTGGCTGAATCCCACCACTGCTTCTACACCATCCCTTTCATTTTGCTGTGTATTGCTAATTAATCATCAAGTTGCCTTTGCCTGCTAGCTAATGGAAGGCTATATTCTGGAGAATAAGCATTGCCTTAATTAAGGCAAAGACAGGAATTGAATGTTAGTGAATTTCCTGTTTTGCCATTAATTATCCATGCAGGGATTCCTCCTCCATCTTCATTAGCTATCTTTAATCATTGGTTAGAAAGGTGGAGGTGCTTAGATACCGGAGGAAACAGTGATTTGTGGGATATCATTTTAATAGCTTTGCTTATCTCTCTTTTCCATGTTTCTAAATAGGTAGTCCTCAACTTACAACACTTTGCTTACTGACCATTTGAAATTACAATGGCACTGAAAAAAAGGGACCTATGATGATTTTTCACACTTAACAACCATTGCAGCATCCCCATGGTCACGTGATTTACATTTGGATGCTTGACAACTTTATATTCATATAAATTCATATTTAGGAGGGTTGCAGTGTCCCGGGGTCATGAGATCACCTTTTGCAACCTTTTGACAAGCAAAATCAGTCTTCATTCATTACCGGATTAATTAACAAATGTGGCAAGAAAAATCGTGAAATGGGGCAAAATTCACTAAACAAATCTCTCACTTAGCAATATAAATTTTGGGCTCAGTTGTGATTGTAAGTTGGGGACTACCTGTTTTGACTAGGCAATATGATTACAATTGCCCAGAATAATGTGGTAAGATAAGCAGTGTTCTGACCCAGCTCCCCAAAGACAACATACTAGGGGTGGGTTCCTGCCAGTTCTACCCTCTTCTATAGAAGAGGTGCCACAAATCTACTGTGCCATTTAGAACCGGTTCCAGCTCTGTCCCCCCCGCCCGTCCACACCACACTTGCCCTGCCCGCTGCTCATTGATTGGTTGGCTCACCAATCACCCCGCTCGCCTTGAAGAGTCCTATCTAAACCTTAAAGTCTTAAAATTGTCAAGTTTGAAAACCCCTGGGTTTTTTTCTAAAGGGTTAGGGTGCAAGGGTCTTGTAACTTGACAGCTTTAAGACTTGCACACTTCAGTGCCAGAGTTCCTGAGCCAACATGACTGGAGGAGGAATTCTGGGAGTTGAAGTCCACGAGTCTTAAATCTGTCAAGTTTTAACACCCCTGGGTTTTTCTAAAGGGTTAGGGGTGCAAGGGTCTTGTAACTTGACAGCTTTAAGACTTGCATGCTTCAAATGCCAGAGTTTCTGAGCCAACATTTTGGTTGCTAAGCAAGAGCGTTGATAAGTGAGTTTCACCACATTTCGCAAGTTGGCCATGCCCACCCGGTCACATGGCCAGCAAGCCACTCCCACAAAGCAGACCACACCTACAGAAGAGGTTCTAAAATTTTTTGAAACCCACCACTGTGACAAACCCTCTGTAGTTGAAGCAATGATTCCTTTTATTAGGAGCGCCAGCAGCCCCGGCAAAAAGTTTCTCTTTCACTGCAGGCTAACAAGTCTATCCAGCAGGGAGATGAAGAGTTGTCTGCCACATCTGTTCATCTCCGCCCCCTTTTGTCCCCAGGGCTAGAGTGGGGCTTTGCTAGCAGTGGTGATTCTTCAGGGGTGAAATGTTCTGAAGTCTGCTACTGGTTCACTTTGTGACAATCAGCTGTGCTGCACGATCATCGACACCTTTAAAAAACTTTTTAAAAGCATTTTTAACTACCTATTCGGCCAAGAAAAGAGAGGTTCTGACAATCAGCTGTAACAATCAGCTGTGCCGTGCAATTCTTGGAACTTTTTAAAACTTTTTTTAAAGGATTTTTTTTTACTACCAGTTCAGGCAAACCGGAAGCATTTTTTACTACCAGTTCGGACTGGTTCACCCGAACCGGTAGTAAAAAATGCTTCTGGTTTGCCTGAACTGGAAGTAAAAAAAATGCTTTAAAAACATTTCATGCCTGTGGCTCTTCTTCGGCCCACTGATTTCCACTGTTCTCCTCTGCTTTCTGTGCATCCGTGTGTCAGGCACTGGACCCAGCTGTTCCTCCTCTTCTTCATCAGCCACCTCTAGACCTGGGGGCTGTTGACTCTCCATCTGTGGGCTGATGGACAGCCCAGGCTCTGCCTCTGTCTCTCTCTCCCTCTGACAGCTCCATTCCCTCTTCCCCCTCGGAGCTCTCAGGTTGCCTTGATGCTGACCCTGACTCCCACGCCCCCTCCTCATCTGATTTGGCTGCTGGAGGGCCCAGCGGCCAACATGCCACAACAGGCGGGCAATAAATTTGGTAAATAAATTAATATAATTTTACAATTCTTTGATCCTTTCCACTTTTTATTCTAGTCTCTTTACTTAGAGGTGCTGCTCTTTGAGTCCAGCTTGACATCCCTTGTTTGCTTTGTGCTTTCCTACTCAGTGACCAGTTTGTATTTCTAACACTGCATGCAAAGGGCAAGTTTCCTTTCAAGCAGTATATCACACTGCTTTAATGTCTGATTAAAAACAACTGCAGAAAAGTCCAAATCTGATCAGAGCAGCAGCATGGGGAGAAGAGGAGCTTAATCCATGCACATGTGCGTCATATTTTCTTCACCTAAGGTGCCCTCTCTGAAGCTGCTATTAGCATTACCAATGGAAAAAATATATAAATGTTTTACCTTCCATCTAATGTTGAGTGTCTCAGTCATATTTGGTTGGATTTCTGTTCCCAAGAATCAGGTACTATTTAACAAGGCACTGTTGAATACTTTTGTGACTTGGTAATTGCTCTGCTTCCTGGTCCATTTATTGTTCAGGCTTATGTTTGCGAGGATTAACCTATTTTAAGGAGTTCAAACTTGGCTAATTTGGAACAGTTAAATATATACAAAAGTGATTACATAGTTGCTTCATTATTTTCAAAACTCTGCACAAATTAACATACTTCATGCAGAAGTTTTTGGACATGGCATTGAGGGTAAGGAGTGCAAAATATTGTACTTTGAATCACTTCTGAGTGTGTAACCGTGAAGTGTCTTGCTTTGAGGCAAATGTGATACTTCTAGTGTGAAGCTGCCTGTTATGAATATTCTGGTAGTGTAATCAAAACGGGTTGTTTGCATGAAGTTCTGTGCTCAGAATGATTCATCTCTTGTAAGAAGAATAGGCAGAGCTAGCAATATCTCATTTTTTTAAAATTACTCTTTGCAGACTGGATTGATTGCTGATGCCAGATTGAAGGACTTGACTCCACCCATGCCGATTATTTTCATTAAAGCCATCCTTGTTGACAAGCAAGACGCACGCAATGTATATCCTTGTCCTGTATATAAAACCCGCCAACGGGGTCCTACTTATATTTGGACATTTAACTTGAAGACTAAAGAGAAACCATCCAAATGGATTTTAGCAGGGGTCGCTCTCCTCCTGCAAGTTTAGACTTCACTTCTCTTTTTCTAGCAAAAAAAAGGTCATCTTTTCTTATTTGGTATTCACTTCAGAGAATGAATGAATGCCCAGTGTTGTCTCATGCTTGTATACATCTTTCAAAAAGAATGAAAGATGAGTTGAATTATCTTCAAGCACACCACAGGGTTTCAAGTTTATTACATTGTTAAATAAAAGGTGCCTATTTGGTTTATGTACCATAAATAAGTAATAACTATTATCCAATTTACAAAACAGGGGACATGTTTAAATAATAGGTAAACAGGCAAAGAAATTCATGTAAGCCAGTCTTAGAGCTTCAGATATGTTGGGACTATAACTCTCAAAATTCCCAATTAGCATGGCTGTGCTAATCAATATTTCTGGAAGTTGTAATCCTGGTGTATTTGGAGTCTACTGTCAGCGTGAAAAAGGCTGGCTTCAGTTGAAACATTCTCGAATGGTGACATAAATATTGCATAAGCTTCAATGGGAAGACCCATTCATCAACATAGATCCAGATCATAAAAAGCTTATTTTCCCTGTTTCCTTTCAGCCACAGTTCATTTGGCAAGGAGGCCTAGAATGGAAGGGTTGAGTAAGTGTTTGAAATGAATGGTCTTTTGGGTGTACTGGTCCTAAACCATGAAAAGCTTGAAAGATCAACACCACTGTGTTGAATGGCATATAAAAACATACAGCAAGTGGTTCAAGCTCCATTTTCTGAATAATTGTATTTGCTAATGAAGCTTCAAGTCATCAAATGCAGAAAAAAGCACTTCTTTTTAGTACTCCTACCAGTGGTGGGTTCCTACTGGTTCAGACCAGTTTGGCTGAACCGGCAGCGCCATCTTGTTTTTGCTTCTGTGCATCTGCAGAGTTATTTTTATTGCAATGCGCATCAAGCGTGCACGCGAAGTGCCCACAAGCGAACCAGCAGTATGACTGCCGGAACCCACCCCTGACTCCTACTACTGCTGCATGATGTAAACAGCAAGTGTTGCTGTGCTGGATTTTTTTCTCTAGAGCCAAATTTTGGCATTGACTTAAAAATGAGTCTTTTATGCACTTTGAGGCATAAATGAGTATATTTGAGATGTTTCTTTATTGATGGTGAGCAATTTCAACCAAACTTGGTACACAGATGACTTACTCTCTGGAAACAAATATTGTGGGGTTAAGACACCCTTAACACCCCTCAGGGTATGTTTTCTGTTATGATACAGCCTGTTGTGCCTTAAAATGGCTTCTACTGTACAGTGCAGTGGAGTTGGCATGATAACAGCTTCACAGCATTCCACAAGGGGGCTCCCTCTGGTAAGTGGGAAAATCCAAGATTAGAAATTATGTTTGGTCCAGACATTTCCCCGCTATAAATAAATACCGAGGCAACGCTGGGTTATCAACTAGTTTGTTTATAAAAAAATATTTCTACTCTGTTGTCATTGATGGCCTTCTCCTGCCCCCTATTTTGCAATGATACTGTGTTTTCTTACTGCTCAAATTGTATGTGTCTCATTGTACATGTTAAGCTCAAACCAGCTTTTTGACTTAGTGGGAGAACCAGAGAAGAGAGTTCATATTAAAAGCTTAAATAAGGATTCCTGTAATTCTCCTTGAGTGATCCCATAATTTCAATTCACTAGTTGCTTGTTATAATACTGTTCATTGTTTTTGCAGTTTCTATGAGGACCTTTTTTACATTTTCACTACAGTTAACCATGGTGTTCCCTCATTAGGTGAAAATATGGTATAAGTATGTCATCGGGATGCCTAATTATTGTTAGTAAAATATCAACAATGGTGACAGAAGAGTCACAGCATACATTTTCTTCCCAAATGAATGAAAACAGCTTTCTCTGGAGATAACTTGTCATCAAAACAATCTCCAACTATGATAACTGATTCAGATGGGAGATGGTAAACTATTATCAAAATCCACGGCAAGAGGCCAGATCTATTTGCCTCCAAGGAATGTATCTGATTACTGACAAAGTAATACCGGTGTGCACTTAGCGTGTGAGATTATTGGCAGTACAAATGCTTTGTTAGAATCTGAATTGCTTTGCATCATAAACACAATGCACCAAGAATCTCAAATCTCTAGCACAAATGCTGCCTTATTATTTTGAGAAGCTTAAGCATTTGTTGGGGGAAAAATAATCTCAGGGAAAAAAATCTTAACGCTTTAAAATCCATGCTTGAGAAACTGAGTTGTAGCTCCCTCTGCTTTTCTATTTTTTTTAAAAAAAAATATTGTTAAGGGAATATAAGAGAATATGGCAGGATTCAGATATGACATCAACTAGATATGTAATGCAATCTCTTGCAATTCACTGCTTTGATGAAAAATTAAATGTCATTAATAAAGGAACTCAATAATAACCTTTGCTGGTTTCACGACACTATTAGTTTCATTTTTAAAAGTTCCCCGCTGTGCTCACTTTATTTCTACAAAGAAACAGCACAGAGTCTTTATTCCTCTGTGTAGATTTCCACTTACCACTCTTCATAGGGAAATATCAAGCACTATAACATAATTTTCTGGGAATTAAAGTGAGATTTGAGTATTAAAAGCAAGTTCTGACTTTCTGAATCTTAATATTTTAGGCTCTTCTAAAATGCAAGCGCCCTTTATTCAACAGAACAGCATGATAAAAAGGCCGGTAAAAGCTGCCGCCACAGTGGATGAATTGGTCATCCATACTCAGTGGAAGCAATTTGGTCTCAGTGGCACTGCACAGTCTTTGAACTTGTTCCATCTTCCCCATTAGAGTGGCTTGAAAGAGAATTGTAATGGGAAACGTACGGCATATTAAAGGGCAACCATGATAAGTGTGAAATCGAAAGCTCGACAAACTGCAAGGTTAAACACCTGTGTGTTTTTTTTTAAAAAAATAGTTCTTAGAGCACTTGTATTTTAACACAAAAAGAAGGGGGGAAAGAGATGAAGTGACCTCGAAATTCTAAGTGTGAAGACATAGGCTCTAAGGCAGTGTTTCTTCAACCTTGGCAACTTGAAGATGTCCGGACTTCAACTCCCAGAATTCCCCAGCCAGCGAATGCTGGCTGGGGAATTCTGGGAGTTGAAGTCTGGACATCTTCAAGTTGCTAAGGTTGAGAAACACTGCTCTAAGGTGATGAATACTGCAATATTCAGTGCCACTGCAATATAAAAGAGCAACGCTAGGAAGCTTTGTTGACTGATTCTGTCTGGTCCATCCAGGAAATTATTGACTTCTCTTGCTGACAACTTGTGGATGCAGGAGACTGAAGAAGGTACCCTTAACTTGATACTGATGTGATGATTTAGGCCTTTCCCAACTTGCAAATGACTCTAGCACAAATATGACCTGAAAACATTTTGGTCCAGCTGTATTCCTAAGGCACTACTTCCTTTCCATACCCTAGTGTCTGATTCAGTTGGAGTTAAATGACCCTTACTGCATTGATGTTAAAGTAACATCTGCCTCCATTCCAACGCCTTATTCTGATAAACTCCAAGGAGAGCTTCAAAGTTGATAAAATCATTAAGGATTTTGTATCCATTACCTTGGAAGGAAATAAAGTGATTATTGTGGCTGGAAAGATGATAGGTAGGAAAGTCCATCCTGCCTGTTCACTTTCATGGTATTCTGTTTGAAGAGGTATCTCAGTTTCAGTATAATCCAGAAGCCAATTACAACCCCTAATGCATTGGATGTATACACCATTGGATGTAAGCTATCAGTCTCGGCCACAAATGCTCATATTTCAAGCTAATGGTTCACTGAACTGACACCAAAGTAAGTCACCAATAGAGCTTTTACAATCCACATATAAAGGGAGACATGGACTATTATTTCTTATAAAAACCTGCTTATAAGTGGTACTGTTTAGAGGTTGTAGAATAGATATGTTGACCCCAGGCTGTGGGAGCTTTAGTTTCTGTGTATCTACAGAACATCAGAGTGGGGAAACCAGCCCTACTTATTACTTATGCTAGATCCATGCTTGATGGGCATGATTGACTTCCAGAAGTACCTTATCTCTCTTAACCAATTGAACTGTAACCACTTAAAGTGGGGGATAAGTAATGTTAAACCCCGTGGGATTTATTTACCATTGGTCTTAAGTGCAGACAGGACTCCAAGGCTGATCAACAAAACACACTCATGGGAATTGACAAATCTGGACAACTTTTAAACAAATGATTTATGATTTTTGAGGAAAGCTGTATTGGCACTGCCTTATGAGAAAGACGGGTTCTTTAGGGATGAACAGAATTTATTTCTTAATTTTCTATTTGACACTCTTGCATAATAAATGACCATGATTCCCATCTGACTCATTGATGGATAAATGCTATACATAATTCATAGATTATTTGCAACACAGCTCTCCATCCTGGACATCTTTCTTACTGTGTATGGGTGGCAATAGCACTTTTATACCAAAAACTGAGTTGAGACTCACTCATTTATTACAATTAGTTCATTAAATGTCTGTAATTGGCCAAATAATTCAGTGCTTGCATTTATAAATGTACCTCCAATAGACCGATTAGATCCCACAGATTAGGCCTCCTCCGAATTCCATCCACCGGCCAATGCCGACTGGCGACCACCCGGAGGAGGGCCTTCTCTGTGACTGCTCCAGCCCTCTGGAACGAGCTCCCCGTGGAGATTCGAACCCTCACCACCCTCCAGGCCTTCCGCAAAGCCCTTAAAACCTGGCTGTTCAGACAGGCCTGGGGCTAATGAGCTTTTGTCCCCCCTCGAATGGTATGGTTGCTGTGTGTTTTTAAATTGTGGTATTGTTTTGTTCATGCTTTTTCCCCCTTATTTGTACACCCCCCCCCCTGACTTGGGTTGTGAGCCGCCCTGAGTCCCCTTCGGGGAAAAGGGTGGCATAGAAATATAATAAATTCAATTCAATTCAATTCAATACTTAATTTAAAATGTTTCCTAAATGTATGGAGGCCTCTTGTGGAGACTTGAGCAGAGTCTTTTTAGACAATAATGCAGATTTATCAACAGTGTGGAAAAAGTGCATTAATGATGGTTGTGCCCAAGATAATATATGAAACCTTAGAAATATTAAGGAATTAGAAACTTCCTAAATTTGCCAATTTAGTAAGACAATAGATTTTCTTGAATGAAATGAATGAAAACCCACAGGTTGCAGAAGTTCATAGAGCCATTTCAAAATCTATTGCTATTGCTGCTTTTACTCTTATTGTTTTTTTTATTTTCTTCTGGTGCATTTCTATTTACATAAGGGTATCCCTGAATGTGTATGAAGTAGTATCTTATGTTTAAAGGGTCTCACTTTGTTTTCAAATTCATAGACGTTTGACAACCCAATTAAATATGATTTAGTAGTCTTCTTTATTTCGTATTCAGAAATTACATTATATTCCATTGCTAATCCCTACTATTTTTAGAGACCATAAGGGTCTGTGAACACAACTGCTACTGAAATCAACTTACACTGAAACTATTTTGTAATGAAATAGTGATGTATCACTAAAGGTAAGGACTATGTATCAGAGTCGTTATGGAGACCTGGGAAAATTGCCTTTCTATTTTTATTCCTCCCCTTTATTAATATTAAAGAGATCATACTGGGTTTTCTTCTTCTGGAATGAAGATATCCTTTTCAGGCATTTTACTCCTTGTTCGATGTGGGAGGAATTTGGGTGTTGTGTATACTTTTGCCGTGCTCAGTGTACTTAATGAGCTCTGCAATTAATTACAGTAATAAGATTATTGATAAGAAGTGGCAGATTTAGAGAAGGATGATTAGATAATTAGAGATAAATTGCTGTTTGTGGGATCTTATTGAGTATGTGCTGAAGATTGTCTGGCTTTGAAGAGATAATTGAGTCTCTGATTAATGACAGTTTGGCAGCAGCTCTGATTTCAGCTTCACTCACCTGGATGAAACCGTGAAGATCACCGTGGCAAGACGTTGAAGAATATCCAATAGCTTTACTTTAAAGAGAACAGTGGGGAAAGTAGAAGGTCCACATTTGAATGCTGCAACATCTGTTTCTATTTACCGTCTGAGTTTGGAAGGCTTTTCCTTCAAGGAACCATATCTATACTCCATGTCTTCTCTGCAATAAAAGAATTCTTCTATTGCAGAAGAAACAATCCTCAAAGATAGACATGTTGGCATTGACTAGGCATCAGGTATAAACTGAGAA